CCTTTTCATCCCTGCTTACTCTTATTGTGGTTGTTCCTCAGGGTCCAGGCTCTGAGTTGGTCTCTTCTTATACAACACTTTGGGTAATTCCCCATTCTCCCAAGGGTTCAGTTACCATCTGTGTACTTGCAACTTACTCCCCACTCTTCTAGCAATTCCCCTTGCCTGTCCACTCCCCGAACTTAAGCATCCACTGGATTCCACAAGCTCAGCATGCCCAAAATTGAATTTAGCTGCTTACCACCCCAGAGTCTGCCTCTCTATCTGGGTCGACGTCCTATGGAAGGCCACCACAATCTGCCCAGTTATCCAGCCAGAACGCTGGCATCATCCCTTGACCCCTTCCTTCTGCTTACCACCCACGTGCAGTCACTCAGCAACACCTATCAGTCCTCACTCTGCAGTATCAGGAGTGCAGCCCCTTCTCTCACAGTACCTCTCCTGATTCAGCCACTGTGTTTTTTTTGGTTTACAGGTATTATTATTATCTTTGCCTCCCATCATGTACCCATTCAATCCAATTTCCCCACACACACTGCAGCTAGAGGAATCAGTTTAAAATATAAATCTGCTCTTGCTGATTTCTGTTAAAACCCTTCCATGCTAATAATAATAATGCTAAAGGAAATAAACGTCCATGGATTCCCTGGTGCACAAAGTCCTTAACTTTTACTTTGCAGATTTCCTGGCACACAGTAGGCACTCAATCGTTATTTGATGAATAATGCAATGAATGAATGGAATTTTTATCTAACACCACCATTTCAAAGGGAAGTTAAATTATTAGAAAAGTAGACACTTTAAAACACAACTTTAAGATGTTTCATCAACCGTGGTTAATTCAAAGACCTTCATGCCTAGAGGCATACTCCCCTCCCACCAAGAAAATAGTACCTGGTCTTCAAGTTTCTTTTATGAAGTCAGTGTTTTTTAACCTTTTTAAATCCCTACATCCCACCCACAAGTGAGTCATTCTGCCAGTGTAATAATGTCTACAAAATCCTATAATATTTCCTGGAAATACTAGTCACCATTATGTTGAAACTTCACTGAAATTCTCCATACAGATAATTCGTCTAAAGTACTAAAGCTTAGTTTCCTGCATAGAATATAAGAGTTAAATTAATTTGTTAAAGGAAATAAACTGTTCTAAGATTTCAGAACAATAATGCATTCATGCAACAAACACTCATGCACCTATTATGTATCTAGCACCACACAAAGCACTGATGATATAGAAAGCTTTTTAAATATTGATTAGTTCCTCCTTCAATAATTTAATAGTCTGTTTTGAGCCAGAGATTGAAACATGTGACAGATCTATAATGAAACAGTTGCTAATATTTCCGAATATGCTACTATGGGTACATGGAGAGAAGAGAAAAAAAAGACCAATTCTTCCAAAAGAGAGCTCACAGATAAAAAGATATTTCAACTAAATCCTGAAAATGTAACCCAGAGTTCATTAAGAAGAGAGACAGGAAGGGCATCTCAAGGAGAAAGAACAGCATGTGCAAAGGCCTAAGGGCAGAATGAATATGGTAGGTTCCAATATGGCAGAAGGGTGAGCTGAAAAGTGAATGTAGAGGTAGTCGAGTGGCAGAATGCAAGGCTGGAAATGGGCACAGGATACCTACTGCCAGCCATGGTTGAGCCAAAGACAAATTCACGCGTTTCTGTCACACAAAAGGAAGCAACCAGCCACCCAAACCAGCTCTCAAGGTTACCCAATCAAAAGAGATCCTGAGAACTGAATTTCTGCAAAATCCAAGCTCTTGTCTGCTGAGTGAGATCATTCCTTAAAGGAAGAAACTCACCACTTGAGACAAAAGTGAACTCTTTGTTGTGGTGCTATGTGGTCTTGGCAGAAGTTTGTTTTCCGGTCTTCTCTGCTCCTCATTATATGTGATGCTGATAAAGAACAAAGAGTTACTTCTTTTTCCAGGCTTTTGGCCCTCACTCCATGAAATGCCGTGAGTATAGGTCTCCTGAGTATCTTTTCCTCATTACACGGCTCTCACCCTGATCACATTTCCTTGGTACTGCCAAAAACCTTTTGATCATAGCTGTTTCTTCGTTTAGAGAAATAACATTGACCTAAGAACTATGATGTAGAAAAGCAGTTTTCAAACCTTTCGGTCTCAGGGCCACCTTACACCCTTAAAAATTATGAGGATACCAAAGAGCTTTTATGTGGGTGATAGCCTATATTTCACATGTTAGAAATTAAAATTGAGAAAAGTTTAAAATATTTATTCTTACCAGTTAAGAAAAAAATTGCATGTTAACATCAATTTTTAACATAAATAATTACAAAAAATAATATTTTCTACAAATAATTTAATGAGAAAAGTGGAATTGTTTTACCTTTTTTTTTTTTAATCCTTAATGTCTGGCTTAATAGAAGATAAATTGGAGTCACACATCTGCTTCTGAATTCAATATGTGGTGACATCACAGTCATATAACATTTAGAAAACTCTACACATGTGAGAGAATGAAAGTGAAAAAGGCAAATAATGTCTTATGATGATGATGAAAATAATTTTAACGTCACAGATCTTCTGAAAGGGTCTCCGAGACTCCCTAGTGGTTTCCAACCCACATCTGAGATCCTCTGATTTAGAAGTTTTAAAATACAGCCAGGCACAGTGGCTCATGCATGTAATCCTAGCACTTTGGGAGGCCAAGGCAGGCAGATCACCTGAGGTCGGGAGTTCGCGATCAGCCTGACCAACATGGAGAAACCCCGTCTCTACTAAAAATACAAAATTAGCCGGGCGTGATGGTGCATGCCTGTAATCCCAGCTACTCGGGAGGCTGAGGCAGGAGAATCGTTTGAACCCGGGAGGTGGAGGTTGCGGTGAGCCGAGATTGCACCATTGCACTCCAGTCTGGGCAACAAAAAAAAAAAAAAAAAAAAAAAGAAGAAGTTGTTTTAAAATACTGTATTGAAAGACAGGAGTTTATTAAAGGTCTATAAAAGTTAGCAGAGATGATAGGTTGATGAGTGCAGCAAGCCACCATGGCACATGTATACCTATGTAACAAACCTGCACATTCAGCACATGTACCCCAGAACTTAAAGAAAAATAAAGTAAAATAAAATAAATAAAAGTTAGCAGATAGAATGTTAAGGCAGAGGCCAGTGTGATAATAATAGCTTCTTGTAAAACAAGTGTGACCACTATTTGAGAGAGTGGAGAATTAAGGTAAACATGACTTATTTTTTAAACATTCAAAAATTTCTTCCCCTCAAAGAAAAACAAATTCAAGGTTTATCTTTTTTTCCCCTCAGTTTAACCAGAAAACAGAATACTAAAGAGCTAGAAAATGAACCACCTAGAAAGCAACTTAAGAAGAAAAGAAAGACACCTGAGGTTCATGCTTGCTAGTTCTGTGACCTTGGGCAAGCCACAATCTTTCCATTCTCAGTTTCTGTACCTAAAAAAAGGCCTTTCTCTTCCTCATACATGTGGATGATTTGAGATATGCAATGTGAATGTTGGCTTCCAGACTCTAAAGCCCTCCACAAATGTTATTTATTAGAATGATGATATTATTATGATTCTAAGACTGCTCGAGGGACAAATAAACCTTCCCCTCTCTTTAAGTGGAGAGATTGCCCTCCATTCTTCCCTCATTTGTGTGTCCCAAAGTCCTTCTCCAATTAAGTTCTTGCAAGCATGCTCTGGGAAGGCCCCAGATGAGCTGTGCAATCTAAGCTTTGAGATTCCCAAGGCTCAACAGAATTACTCTAATACATTTACTATCAGACTACCCCTTTATGCAAACCTCTAAAGGAAGAGAAACACTGCCAAAAACATATTCAGGGAAAAGCATAAACAGGCCTCAACTTCCCTCTCCCCCTCCCTCCAAGGAAATTCTCTAGCAATATTAAGCCAAGAAGAATTACTGCAGCAAAGAGTGAATGTAAATAAGGATGGCCCAGCTGCCACTTAAGCAACTTCCATGGACGTGTCCTCCGTGAAGTCCCAGGCTTCAGCAAGCATGATTGATGGTGAAGTACATTTTCATTAGTTCAGGTTCCCAACACACTTCTGAAGTTGTAGACTGCTGTTTAGACAAAGATTGGAAGTGAATTACACGTCTGACATAAAACCATGACCTAGAAAAGACCTAAAGGGTAGGAAATGTCAGTGGAAAGTCACAGAAAGAAAAAAACAACCAGAAGTAACTTGGCTAAATTGGGCAACATGAGTATAAGATTAAACATTGGCATGTTTAGAAATCCCCAGTCCCAAGTTAATAAAACCAGGGTCGTGAGAATTCTCTATACTTTACCATCTGTGCTTATCAACTCACCCATCCTCCTTCCAGCACTAGAAAAACATTGTTTGGAGGGGGGAAAATGATTCTTCAGCAGTAAAACATTTGAATTTTATCTCAAGTAAGACTTTATTTCAAAATCTGGAGCGAAATTTTTTTTTTTTTTTTTTTTGAGACGGAGTCTTGCTCTGTCGCCCAGGCTGGAGTGCAGTGGCGCGATCTTGGCTTACTGCAAGCTTCGCCTCCCGGGTTCACGTCATTCTCCTGCCTCAGCCTCCCCAGTAGCTGGGAGTACAGGCACCCGCCACCACGCCCGCTAGTTCTTTTTTGTATTGTTAGTAGAGACGAGGTTTCACTGTGTTAGCCAGGATGGTCTCTATCTCCTGACCTCGTGATCCGCCCGCCTCTTCCTCCCAAAGTGCTGGGATTACAGGCGTGAGCCACCGCTCCCAGCTGAGAGAAATTTTAACTCTTAATTTGCTCTAGGATATTCTGATTTAAGTCAAGTCATTTTGGACAAATAGCCAATTTGTCGTATTCATCAGATGAAACAATTTCATCTCCCTTTCCATATGTATAAAATAAGCCTCTTGTCTTCTACTCAAATAATAACTAAAATATTAATAAATAATAAAATATTCACTTTTAAATAAAATATTAATGTGATTTTACAATAAATATCTGTATTTGTCCTTTTCCTTTCTGTCTAGCTTTGAAGGCCTCACCTTCTAAGAAACGGTGCAATTCCATCGCCGCCTTAAAGGCGACTTCACAGGAGATCGTATCCTCAATTAGCCAGGAATGGAAGGATGAGAAGCGAGATTTGCTGACCGAAGGACAAAGTTATAGCAGCCTTGATGAAGAAGGTAAAGATGTGTAACTTTTTAAAAAAGACAAAAGTTCTTGTGATTTATTTATACAAGTAAATTTGCAGAAGAAAAATTTAAAAATACCTGTTCTAAGAAATAAAATCTATTAAGTTTTTAAAGGATAGCTACAGTGGCCAGGCGTAGTGGCTCACGCCTGTAATCCCAGCACTTTGGGAGGCCGAGTCAGGCAGATCACTTGAGGTCAGGAGTGCGAAACCAGCCTGGCCAACGTGGCGAAACCCTGTCTCTACTAAAAATACAAAAAAATTAGCCAGGTATGGTAGCAGGCGCCTGTAATTCTAACTACTCAGGAAACTGAGGCATGAGAATCACTTGAACCCGGGAGGCGAAGGCTGCAGTGAACTGAGATTGCACCACTGCACTCCAGCCTGGGCGACAGAGCGAGACTCTGTCTCAAATAAATAAATAAATAAATAAATAAATAGGATAGCTACAGTAAGATGCGGTTCATGCAAGTTTTAACTACCACATAAAAAAATACAATTTATGGTTTATGATAAAAATTAGACAATACTAATTCAAAAAGAAAAATGTCTACTTTCACTACATGATGGTAACAAATACTAATATTTTTTTGCTTTTACTTCTAGACCTTATTCTGTGCATGTACACATACACACATGCACAGGTACACGTGCACACACATACATGCAATGTAACAACAAGTTGTCTCTTCATTTAGGTTTCTTTAATGATTTTTTTTTTTTTTGGGTACCCACTGGTAATACTCGGGAGGTACTACATGTTTTTTACTTTGAAAGCTTCATAACCATGAGCAGGTACCAAGAGAAGGAAAGAAAAGAGGCAGAAAGGAAAAATATGGAATGTTTCATGAATTTGCATGTCATCCTTGCACAGGGGCCATACTAATCTTCTCTGTATCGTTCCAATTTTAGTATATGTGCTGCCAAAGTGAGTGCTTTAATGAATTTAAATAAAGTTTTATAATATTTTTCTTGTGTGGCTTGTACATATACCTTTTGTTAGATTTATTTCTTGGATAAATGCAGAGATATTGATATAGATTTTTTTTCTGGATTTTTTAAAATAGTACGTTTTTTAAGAATTCAGTTTTCTGGCCATTTGTTGCTATTGTATGGACTTCACATCCTTTTTGTCTTTTTTTCTTTCTTACTTGCTGGCTAGGACTTCTGGTACAATGATGAATAGAAACAGTGATTGTAGACAGCCTTGCCTTGTCCTGATTTTAAAGGGAATGCTTCTAATGTTTCACGATTGAAAAAGAAGTTTGCTGTATTTGATACCCATAATCAAGACAAGGAAGTTCCTTTTTTTATTCCTACTTTGCTGAAAGTTTTTTTTTTTTTTTAAATCAGGAATGAGTACTGAATTTTATCAAATACTTTTCTCTATCTGCCAAGTTAATCATTTATTTTTTCCCTTCTAATCAAATATGGGAGAATGACATTTTAGATTTTTCTATCAGTATATTCTTTGGAGGATCTCAGCATTTCCTGAAAATGTCTTTTACTTTCTACAGGAGTTAAGACCTCCTCTAGGGGTTTTCTTTTCCTCAGTGTCTTTAGGATGCGGTGTTATTTCTATTCCTTCTTCAGCAGCACTTATCCATACGTGCTATGTTTGGTTTCTTTCTTCCTCATCTTGCCATAAACCAACTTTTACCCGGAGTTAGTGATTTCGGCAAGAGAGTTACAGAGGTGCCCTTGATCCTCTCTGAACTGATGTCTCCAGTTCCTGGTAGACATTCACCCGTTTCTCCTAAGCTCCCTGGCACTGGCATCTCCCTCCCTAGACTACCTGATTTTCTGATAGCACATGCAAAACCGCAGGTGTCTGTAGTCTGGGAAATAGGATAAACGTATTTTAAAATTATATTAGTTAAGCTTTCAAGTAGTATGCTCAATGTGACCTCTAAAGTTAAAGCGATGGATCCAGTTGTTAATTTGGAAAAAAAAAAAAGGTAAATGTGTAATAAATATACTACACAGCATCTAGAAAGGCTGGAAACATGGGAAGTAGGGCGTATATTGTATTTTTTTCAAATGAAGTATTTGACTCATTGCTTCAAATTTAGAGACACAACACCTTCAAAGGTCTCTGAAGGTCAAAGAAAATCCTATTGAGCATAGTCTTTGAAAACGTAACATAATGTTATAAAATGAGTTTATCTTTGCTATCCTCTTCATGCACAATGTTTCGTCTCTAAATAATGCTCTGTACTTGGGGAACTTCCCCCTGCACCAAATCATCACTGAATTTCCCTCTAGTTTTTAAGTTTGTTTTCTGCCATTCTCAGTATGTTCAGGTTATATTTTCTATTGCCATGTAACAAATTACCAGAAACTTAGCAGCTTAAAATAATACCCAGTTAGTAGCCGATGGTTCTGTAAGTCAGAAGATTGGGTACAACTCACACAGGTTCTCTGCTCAGGGTCTCAAAAGCTGAAATGAAGGTGTCAGCAAGACTGAGTTTTTTTGTTTTTTCTTTCTCTCAGAAATAAGCTTTTTATTTTATTTTTTTATTATTATACTTTAAGTTCTGGGGTACATGTGTAGAATGTGCAGTTTTGTTACAGAGGTATACACGTGCCATAGTGCTTTGCTGCACCCACCAACCCGTCACCTACATTAGGTATTACTCGTAATGCTGTCCCTCCCCTTGCCCCCCACTCCCTGACAGGCCCGGGTATGTGATGTTCCCCTCCCTATGTCCATGTGTTCTCATTGTTCAGCTCCCACTTATGAATGAGAACATGCAGTGTTTGGTTTTCTGTTCTTCTGATAGTTTGCTCAGAATGATCGTTTCCAGCCTCATCCATGTCCCTACAAAGGACGTGAGCTCATCCTTTTTTATGGCTGCATAGTATTCCATGGTGTATATGTGCCACATTTTATTTATCCAGTCTATTATTGATGGACATTTGGGTTGATTCCAAGTCTTTGCTATTGTGAATAGTGTTGCAGTAAACATACATGTGCATGTGTCTTTATAGTAGAATGATTTATAATCCTTTCAGTATATACCCAGTAATAGGATTACTGGGCCAAATGGTATTTCTAGTTCTAGATCCTTGAGGAATCGCCACACTTCCACAATGGTTGAACTAGTTTACGCTCCCACCAACAGTGTAAAAGCATCCCTGTTTCTCCACATCCCCTCCAGCATCTGTTGTTTCCTGACTTTTTAATGATCACCATTCTAACTGGTGTGAGATGGTATCTCATTGTGGGTTTGATTTGCATTTCTCTAATGACTAGTGATGATGAGTATTTTTTCATATGTCTGTTGGCTGTGTAAATGTCTTCTTTTGAGAAGTGTCTGTTCATATTCTTTGCCCACTTTTTGATGGGGTTTTTTTTCTTGTAAATCTTTTTAAGTTCTTTGTAGATTCTGGTTATTAGCTCTTTGTCAGATGGATAGATTGCAAACATTTTCTCCCATTCTGTAGGTTGCCTATTCACTCTGATGATTGTTTGTTTTGCTGTGCAGAAGCTCTTTAGTTTAAATAGATTCCATTTGTCAATTTTGGCTTTTGCTGCCATTGCTTTTGGTGTTTTAGTCATGAAGTCTTTGCCCATGCCTATGTCCTGAATGGTATTGCCCAGGTTTTCTTCTAGGATTTTTATGGTCCTAGGTCTTACGTTTAAGTCTTTGATCAATCCATCTTGAGTTAATTTTCGTATAAGTTGTAAGGAAGGGGTCCAGTTTCAGTTTTCTGCATATGGCTAGCCAGTTTTCCCAACACCATTTATTAAACAGGAAATCTTTTCTCCATTGCTTGTGTCAGGATGGTTGTAGATCAGATGGTTGTAGACGTGTGGTGTTGTTTCTGAGGCCTCTATTCTGTTCCATTGGTCTATGTATCTGTTTTGGTACCAGTACCATGCTGTTTTGGTTACTGTAGCCTTGTAGTATAGTTTGAAGTCAGATAGTGTGACGCCTCCAGCTTTGTTCTTTTTGCCCAGGATTTTCTTGGCTATGTAGGCTCTTTTTTGGTTCCATATGAAGTTTAAAGTAGTTTTTTCCACTTCTGTGAAGAAAGTCAGTGGTAGCTTGATGGGCATAGCATTGAATCTATAAATTACTTTGGGCACTATGGCCATTTTCACAATATTGATTCTTCCTATCCATGAGCATGGAATGTTTTTCCATTTGTTTGTGTCCTCTTTTATTTCCTTGGGCAGTGGTTTGTCGTTCTCCTTGAAGAGGTCCTTCACATCCCTTGTAAGTTGGATTCCTAGGTATTTTATTCTGTTTGTAGCAATTTGTGAATGGCAGTTCACTCATGATTTGGCTTTCTGTTTGTCTGTTATTGGTGTATAAGAATGCTTGTGATTTTTGCACATTGATTTTGTATCCTGAGACTTTGCTGAAGTTGCTTATCAGCTTAAGGAGATTTGGGTCTGAGATGATGAGGTTTTCTAAACATACAATCATGTCATCTGCAAATAGAGACAATTTGACTTCCTCTCTTTCTATTTGAATACACTTTATTTCTTTCTCTTGCCTGATTGTCCTGGCCAGAACTTCCAATACTGTGTTGAATAGGAGTGGTGAGAGAGGGCATCCTTGTCTTGTGCTGGTTTTCAAAAGGAGTGCTTCCAGTGTTTGCCTATTCAGTATGATATTGGCTGTTGGTTTGTCATAAATAGCTCTTATTATTTTGAGATAACGTTCCATTGATCCCTACTTTATTGAGAGTTTTTAGCATGAAGGGGTGTTGAATTTTGTCAAAGGTCTTTTCTGCATCTATTGAGATAATCATGTGGTTTTTGTCTTAGGTTCTGTTTATGTGATGGATTACATTTATTGATTTGCATATGTTGAACCAGACTTGCATCCCGGGGATGAAACTGACTTGATCGTAATGGATAAGCTTTTTGATGGGCTGCTGGATTCGGTTTACCAGTATTTCCATGAGGATTTTCACATTGATGTTCATCAGAGATATTGGCCTGAGATTTTCTTTTTTTGTTGTGTCTCTGCCAGATTTTGGTATCAGGGTGATGCTGGCCTCATAAAATGAGTTAGGGAGGATTCTCTCTTTTTCTGTTGTTTGGAATAGTTTCAGAAGGAATGGTACCAGCTCCTCTTTGTATCTTTGGTAGAATTCAGCTGTGAATCTGTCTGGTCCTGGACTTTTGCTGGTTGGTAGCTTATTAATTTCTGCCTCAATTTCAGAACTTGTTGTTTTATTCAGGGATTCGACTTCTTCCTGGTTTAGACTTGGGAGGGTGTGCGTGTCCAGGAATTTATCCATTCCTTCTAGATTTTCTAGTTTATTCACTTAGAAGTGTTCATGGTATTCTCTGATGGTAGTTTGTATTTCTATGGGATCAGTTGTGATATCCCCTATATCATTTTTTATTGCATCTGTTTGATTCTTCTCTCTTTTCTTCTTTATCAGTCTGGCTAGAGGTCTATCTGTTTTGTTGACCTTTTCAAAAAACCAGCTCCTGGATGCATTGATTTTTTTGAAGGGTTTTTCGTGTATCTATCTCCTTCGGTTCTGCTCTGATCTTAGTTATTTTTTGTCTTCTGCTAGCTTTTGAATTTGTTTGCTCTGGCTTCTCTAGTTCTTTTAATTGTGATATTAGGGTGTCAATTTTATATCTCTCCTGCTTTCTCTTGTGGGCATTTAGTGCTATAAAATTCCCTCTACACACTGCTTTACATGTGCCCCAGAGATTCTGGTATGTTGTGTCTTTATTCTCATGATTTCAAAGAACATCTTTATTTCTTCCTTCATTTTGTTATTTACCCAGTAGTCATTCAGGAGCAGATTGTTCAGTTTCCATGTAGTTGTGCAGTTTTGAATGAGTTTCTTAATCCTGAGTTCTAATTTGATTGCACTGTGGTCTGAGAGACTGTTATGATTTCCGGTCTTTTGCATTTGCTGAGGAGTGTTTTACTTCCAATTCTGTGATCAATTTTAGAATAAGTGCAGTGAGGTGCTGAGAAGAATGTATATTCTGTTGACTTGGGGTGGAGAGTTCTGTAGATGTCTATTAGGTCCACTTGGTCCAGAGCTGAGTTCAAGTCCTGAATATCCTTGTTAATTTTTTGTCTCATTGATCTGCCTGGTATTGACAGTGGTGTGCTAAAGTCTCCTGCTATTATTGTGTGGGAGTCTAAGTCTCTTTGTAAGTCTCTCAGAACTTGCTTTATGGATCTGGGTGCTCCTGTATTGGGTGCGTATATATTTAGGATAGTTAGCTCTTCTTGCTGCATTGATCCCTTTCCCATTATGTAATGCCCTTCTTTGTCTCTTTTGATCTTTGTTGGTTTAAAGTCTGTTTTATCAGATTTTAGGATTGCAACTCCTCCTTTTTTTGCTTTCCATTTGCTTGGTAAATATTCCTCGATTTCTTTATTTTGAGTCTTTGCACGTGAGATGGTTCTCCTGAATACAGCACACTGATAGGTCTTGACTCTAATTTGCCAGCCTCTGTCTTTTAATTGGGGCATTTAGCCCATTTATATTTAAGGTTAATATTTTTATATGTGAATTTGATCCTGTCATTATGATGCTAGCTGGTTGTTTTGAGCTGGGCTGAGTTCTTATCAGGAAGTGCAGAGGACGAATCCTCTTCCAAGCTCATTCATGTTGTCGGCAGAATTCAGCTCATTTTAGCTGTTGGGCGAAGATCCCTGCTTCTTTGCTGTCGGACAACAAAGAGCCGTGTTTTGCCCTGGGGGCCATCCACATTCCCTACCATGCTGCCCCTCTATCTTCAAACACAGAAAATGTCCTGCAAGTAAGCCCCAACACTTTTTCTCTCTGACTTCTTGTCCCTGACCTCTAGACCCAGATTTAATGGGCTCATACGATTAGGTGAGGCTCCCCTGGATAATCTTCCCTTTGCCTAACTCAGTGTTAGCCAACTCTGGGTAACCTGAGTTACATCTGCAAAATCCCTTTTGCTAGGTCATATCACATAGCCACAGGAATAACAGCTCATCATGTTTGCAGGCCCCACAACAAAGGGAGAATTTACAGGAGTGTGGGTCATTAGGGGTCATCTTAGAGTTCTGCCTACCACACTGGCTTTAGAAAAAAGCGGAAGGATACGGGAGCAGGAAGAAACACTTCTCTCCCTCAAAGAGCTGCTCCTTATGGGTTGAGGGGTCACCTTCCTGATGATGTGTGACCTGGGACTGAGTCACTGTACAGATGTATTTTGCTCTGTCACTCAGGTCATGTCTACTTTGTGAAGTGACGCTGGTATGCCCAAAACCTAGGTTGAAGACCAGCTCCATCTGCCTTATAAGGAGTGGCAATTCATTGGAATCTGATATCAGGTTATTTTTGACACTGAGTTTTCAATGTTATGGAGAGTTTTCATGTTTTGCTTTCCGTTTAATGAAAAGTTGGGATCAAGAATATTGAAGATTGCAAGCCAGGTGTCACATTAAAGTTGAAGCCTTTCTAATTTTTGAACGTTGAGCACTTTGGTTATTCGTGGTTTTATATGTTTTATCTATCGCTGCAGTTTTCTATTTTGACTTGAATTGGAGGTGGAGAGGTGGAGCTCTACCATCCCAGTGTGTCATCTGATTTCCCAGACCAGAGTCCAGCCTTTCCTGTGCTTGCCTGGCTTCCCCTCCATGTTGCTCCCTACCCCACCATCTATACCCTTCACATCCAAAATCCAAAACCTCACACTCACACGAGAATCCCTATTACGGTCGGTTTATATTTACACACTAAAAATATCTAATTTTCAATTTGTTGTGCTTATAAAGGAATACCAGGAACACCTTAAAGTTATAATTGTATTTATTAGCATCTATTTTAGGTCCGTCTGGGGGCGTGATGGAAAGAGTCCACATAGACTCCAGAGAGATGGGCAGGGGTTACTGCTCAGCCTTGAACATTCCTCCTTCCTCACAAGGGTGGGCTCTTGCACAAATGATTTCATGGGCCCCTAAGTTTTAAAGAAAAAATAAGTGTTTTCTCATTTTAAAAAAGGCAACTTTGATGTTAAAATATGTCAAGAAGAGTCCTGGATAATGTTTAAATGTATTTATGGGCTCAGATGGGGTTAAGGTAGAGTCGACTGTTAGTCTGTTGAAGTATTTGTTTCCCGGCTCTTGAAAAACATGGGTTCTTAGATCCAACCTGAGAATCATAGATATGTGCATATCACAGGGAGGGCAGAAAGGTTCGCTGTCTGTTTATACACTTGCCAGTCATCCTTTTAATCTCTGTCAAATTATCTGCTTAAACTCCTATGAATTTTTGTATGCCATCTTTTTGAAATAGTAAATCACTTTATTAGGTTTTTAAAAGAGCATTCATAATGTCATTTCCATGAGCCATTTTGTAAATTAATGCAATTTCCTTTCTGTTTAACCTGTTTGCAAGAAGCTATTTTACATTTCTGCTGTAATTCAGAAAAAAAGTGCAGTTAATTCATAATTGAATTTGCAGCCTGATAGGTAAAATGAATGCTTTTGACTCATTTCGATTATTATAGATACTAAAGCTGCATTTATTCTTGAGATTCATGAATGTGTGTGTTGCTTTCGTTCCCAGCCCTGGGATCCCGACACAGGCCAGACCTGGTGCCTAGCACTCCATCGCTGTTTGAAGCTGCTTCCTTGGCGACCACAATTTCATCTTCTTCCTTATACGTCAACGAGCACTATTCACACGACAGGCCTACACTCTATTCAAACAGGTAATACTTAGTGCAGTCAAATAACCCATCAGGCTGTTACCACGTCAACATCAGGCCTGAACCAGTGTCTCTGAATGAGAACACGTCTCTAGCAACCAGCATGTGCCTGTCATCTGCCTCGTAAGTCGGAGAGAGAACATGCTTGATTTTTGCTGTGGCAAAAGAACATTGGAGGGAAAACCCTCATGATCTTTCTTTACAGTTGACCATTATGTCATGTAGAAATTATATACTTGGCTCAATGGAAGAAGACAAATCTTTCATCTTTTTTATTTTAGTAAATTTTTTAGGAATGGATTTCTTCAGAGTGAGTACTCTTAGTCAATATTACACAGGTAGCTGCAAAGATATTGTAATATTCTCTTTTGGTATGTGTGATCTTAGTGACTATGGTAAACAGAATAATGCCCACCCCCCCAAAGCTGTCCACATCCTAATTCCGTCACCTGTGAATATGTTACCTTATATGACAAAAGGGATTTTGCAAATGGGATTAAATTAAAGATCCTGAAATGGGAGAAGTATCCTGAATTATCCAGATAGGCGCAATATAATCACAGGGTTCTTGTAAGGGGAAGACAGAAGAAGAAGGGTCAGAGTCAGAGAAGGAGACACAACATCAGAAGCAGAAGTCAGGATACCCCATTTGCCCTGATATGATTATTATTCATTGCATGCCTGTATCGAAATATTTCATGTAACCTATAAGATTTTTGGAAATTGTATGCTCTCTAGCAACTTGGTGTGGATTTTTATATAAGCACCATTTTATGAGTTCTATAAAATGTTATAAAAATAGAAAATTTAAAAAAATAAGGAAATAATTATTTGCTAAATATTAGACTAGTTATTGTTGAAACCTAGCTCTCAAGAATCAAGATCAGATTTATACAGGTGAAGAATTTCTTATGCTTAAGTTACTTTCCATCTCCAGGATAGCAGTTTGGTTGATTTCCAGGAAGAGGAGTCAATAAAGTAGATTTATTTTTAATATATGGCTATCCATAGAGTCTAGCTTAGTCTTTTGGCAAGTTAAAGTTTGCTAGTCGGACCTGCTATAGTAATTCTTTTTTGTTGCTGTTTCCTCCTCTCTCAGCTAGATACAAGATTAGGTAGGCAGCAGGTTAGGCAGCCAGTCTACATCCAGAAAAGTGGAACCAGTGGGTAGCAAAGTGAGCCACAAATCTTCGCTGGGCCTGAGTTTGCATTGTTCTTCTCTAAGGGTCAACAAATAAGGCCCTATTAAAAATTATTTAACTCATCTAAACTATACAAAGTTACTGATTTGGTCAGTTTCCTTCGATTGGAGAAATTTAAAATGACTTAATGTGTAATACTTAATATTAATGTCAAATGTTTAAATCTGGTATGTAAATTAGTCAAGCAACAGCCTTTCCTGTCTATCTGGTGCAGCTGAACACGTGGGTCTATATAAAGTTCTTTTGCTCTCGAATATAAATAGCAGCCCAAAAGATAGCTGGAAAGTTGCAGGAAGTTCTTAGCAAGGTCAAAAACAATTCTCATGTGAAGCCATGGTGATTTCTTACAGTTTGCTGTCATGGTAATTATTGGGGCATATAATCAGATGTGCTCTTAAATCATTTACTGAGATTTTCAGCCAACAATAAAAGGGTTTGGTTTGGTTTTGTGTTTTGGTAGCAGTGGTGGTGGTGGTGGTGGTGGTGGTAGGTAAGTATCCAGTCTCTTGACCAGAGGTATTCGGCTCTTGGGTATTCATAAGGTTTTCCTGGGGCCTGGCAGGGCCTCCTCCTGACTCCCAATCGTTCCTGGCCATCCTGGAAGCTACCTCTGCATGCTCCACCTCCACATGCTCCCAGAAGTGTGCTGTCACTCTCGATACTTTTATTTATGCCGATACTGACTAGCATATAGATTTGGAAGGGGAAAATAAAAAATGAGTTATCTATGATATTTTTCCTTTCTTTTAAATATTTATTTAAAATAAGTGCATTGTTTTAATCTTCTTTGGCACTGTATCTCCAAATTGCAATGTGATATCTTATATATCACTATCAATCAAGGTTCACCTGTAAGAACAAGAAACCACTTCATCTTAACCAGAAAGGAATTTAATCTAGATAATTGGGTGCCTACAAAGTCTGGAAAGGCAGTGGGCATGGGCTCCAGGCTGGCACCAGGAAATTCATCCTGGAACACGCCACCAAACTGGGCCACCAGCAGCACTATAGCAGGAACCACAGTCAAGTTGGTGCCTGCCAGTGAGATACAGCCCAGACAGAAGCATTTCAGTGAGCCTAGAATGTTTTTTCAATGAGCCACCCTTTAAAAACCAAACAACTTCGCTAAAATACCCAGATTCTTTTGCAAAATCAGGATCTTGGTCACCATATAATTTTGGCTCTGTTTCCTCCTGGCATTTATCAGCTGGAGGGGAAAATCTTGCACCCCCTAGGTCACCACCCTCTGCCTCATTCATCTGTGCTGTCACCTACCTGCTCCTGTAGATATGTCTGCTTTTAGCCTTGATGTGCACAAGAAGGTAATAGAAGGGCCTCGGGTCTTAATCACGGACTTAGGGAAATCTTAAGGAAAAGAGGCATAAAGGTGCTAAAAAAAAAAAAAAAAAAAAAAAAAAACCCTGAAGACAACAGTTTGAGAACTCCCGGGCGTCAATATCCCTATTTCCCTGACCCACTGTGCCCAACCCTCATTATTCAACTGGCAAACTTCACCAGCAAACCAAAAAAAAAAAAAAAAAAAATTTCATATTTTTGTTTCTATCATTTTTTCCTTTAGAGCCCACCTAGTCCTACATGGTGTTTCTTTAGGCAATAAATAGACACTATTCTAAATCTCATCTGGCCAACTGAGTTTCAAAACCTAATCCAGAGAGCCTGGAAAGAAAATGCATTGAAAAGAAAAAAAAGAAAAGAAAAAAAATGTTGAATATTGATGTTATAATTTACATGTGAGATTTTTCTCTTTATGAATCATTTTTCTGTTCAGGCAAAGTGGTCTGTTTTCCAATTTTGACGTTATATTATACATATCTATGCTAAAATAAGCTGCAAATACTTCAACTAGCAGTTGTCATTCTGTCAGTCTTTTTAGAATCCGTAAGTTGGCAAGGTATTGATTAGTGCCTGGATGCCTCCACACCTAAATTATATACTGCAGTGGGAAATTGCTGTCTCTTAGAATTATTCCTTTTTTAAAAAAGATTATTCTTTGTAACTTCAAAAACTCTTAATAGTAACCCATTCTTTTTTTCATGTACTCCAAAAATTCGCTAGGAAGGAAAGAAAAAAATAGTATCATCTTAAAAGTATGTATCTAACCTACTGATTGGGAGTACACATTTTCAAGTTGCACTGTGCAGTCTTGTGTTAGAGCATGCAGATCCTAGGAATAAAGAGAAACTGTCATGAGCATTGCTTCCCGGTCATCTAGTGAGATTTAAGTTCTGAATTTTTGAAACTTGCATTTTTCTTTACTAGTAAGAAGTCTGTTCTTTTAAAAGAGGTATAAATTGAGCACTAAGAAATACGGAGGCGTGTTTTACCTCAAAGTTAAGAACAATTTCATTTAATATTGTAGAAATAGGTTACACATACGAATATTTTCATGATTTCCTGCATAGCTGGTAGCAAAGCCAAAGCTCTGGTTATGCATAAGGAATTGAAAGTCACACTTCATTCCAGTGCATCTATGCTTTCCCCATCAAAGATGTCTTACCAGTGTCACCACTCTATCCAGTCTCAGGTTTGGCTAGTGGCTATTTCTAACACTTGGGCTCACCCTGCAGACATTTGCAGTATTGTGAGAAGGGCAAAAATGTCAGAGAAAAAGCCACTGGTCATTTGTACATAGAGGGCAAATTGGTAAAGGCTCCCTAAATGATGAGTCCAACATTCTAGATCTCAGAGGCTAGCCCAGCAGATCGAACAGTCTTGTGCCCTCTTCTTCCTGCCATTACAGTGTTGTAGACCTAGAACAGGAGCGGAAACACTCTAACCAAAAGCCCTTCGCCACAAATTGCTTACCGCTAAGGTTTACAGACATGCAAGTAGAGCCATCCCAAAGGTTAGAGATCTTTCTTTAGATTTGTCTGAAATATCAGAAAATGGAAATGTGGAAACCTTGTATGACATATCTGAGCGTGTTAGTAGGACTTCAGTTGAACACAGGTCTCTAGGGTCTAAGCCTCTTGTCTTTTCCACCGTACCATTCCTGCATCACGGCCTCCAAATACATATTAGGTTGGCTGGTTGGTTGGTTTTTTTCCTAACATGAATTCTGGTCCTGTGTTTGAGACTTTTTTTTTTTTTTTTTTTTTTGCTGCTTAATAACTAAAATATTTCTAGCAGGCAAAGTGGTGGGTTTATGTTTTTGGGTTTTGGGGTTTTTTTGAGAGAGTCTCGCTCTGTGACCCAGGCTGGAGTACAGTGGCGCCATCTCGGCTCACTGCAACCTCCGCCTCCAGGGTACAAGCGATTCCCCTGCCACAGCCTCCTGAGTAGCTGGGATTACAGGCACCCGCCACCATGCCTGGCTAATTATTGTATTTTTAGTAGAGGCAAGGTTTCACTATGTTGGCCAGGCTGGTCTCAAACTCCTGACCTCAAGTGATCCACCCCCTCAGCCTCTCAAAGTGCTGGGATTACAGGTGTGAGCCACTGTGCCCAGCCAATGGGCTTATGTTAATGTCCACCTATAGTATTTGTCCTACCAGTTATTGGTGAATTTTGCTTATTAAAAACAGCATTGCGAGGGCAACTTTTCTATCATAATATTAATCCTGCTTCAAACCACCAATAATAATCTGATACAGTAGCAACTAATTATTGAACCTTATTAAGGGCCATGTTAAGCCTTACTTTGTACATGTCAAGTGATTTAATTCTCACAGCAATTCTACAAAGTTATATTTATGGTCTCCATCTTACACATGAGGAAATTGATGCTTAGCAACATTAGGTAACTTTCTCAAGGCCACATGGCTAAAAAGTGGAGGCATG